CGAGCAGTGGTGGTATGAGCAGGGTTCAGGAGCCCAAGAAGGAGCCGAGGCCCAGATTGCCAGAGCACCTACCTGCCACTGGTATGAGCAGGCACCAGATCCCAGCTCCAGGCAGAACTGCGCTCTCAGTTGGAAGGCAGGGGTCCCAGCAAGTGGCTAGGGCCAAGGGATGGCCTGTTAGACCCCCGCTGCTCCAGGACTCCTGCTCTGGGGTCTTGAGAGCTGCCAAAGGCAGCCGTGAGGCCAGGCCAGCCTCAGGCCAGGTGGCTGCCTGGACTGGAGTTTGGTCAGCAGTTGGGGACCTATATTGTGAGATAGTTAGGACTTTGTCCACAAACTGGAATTTGAAATTTCAAAGGGGCGAAACTGAAGGGCCCTACCCCAGAGTGGAGACGGCGCTTGGCTTCTTTCCCCCACGACTTTTGTTCTTTGTCTTGATAAGTCCTGGTTTCCCCTGCGCCCTGCCCAGTGGCAGGTGGGGGAGGACGGTTAGGAAAGAGCATGGAAAGGGACGCCGAGGCATCAGTGCCCCGGGTGGCCAGGTGCCTGGAGGGTGTCTCTAGACCTGCGTATGCCCAGGGAGGTGGCCGTGGCTTCTCAGATCCTTGGGTTCCTCGGCAGTTCAGTGAGGTTGAAACCAGCAGGAGCCAGTCCTGAGCTCAGGAATCCTGAAGTCCTCCCGACATTCCAGGAGAGCGGTAACCTGGGGAAGTGGAGCCCTTGGCCTCTGGAGTAAGACTCCATCCTCACGCAGCCCCTCTGGTTACACCAGTGTGTCATTGGCCAAGTCTCCAAGCCTCTCCGAGCCTCTGTTTTATCGTCCATAGCATGAGGGTGTCTAGGGCATCAGATAAAACAAGAAATGTCGAAGGTCCTTGGCCCCAGGCTTAGCACCTCGCTCTATAAACATCACCGATACTATGGTCTAAAAGAAAAAGAATGCAGCACCCGTTCCTCTGTCCACGGCGGAGGCAGGGCTCCATGTGACCCACTGGCCTAGCTGCGGCCTTGACCCTCCGCAGTTCCCTCCTCCAGGCCTCTGCTTCCCCATCCCCAGCGTGAAGGAGCTGGGCCTCCTGGTGAGCTCCGAGGTCCTCTTGCCTTCTAGGAGCTGCTGACGGCACAAGGGAGAGAGACTCCTCTCCAGAGGAGGGATCCGGGGCTCAAGAAGTCCGCAATGACAATGACCTTGACAGCTGCCTCTTGACGCCCGGGGGGATTGGTGCCAGGACCCTGCCTGGGGATCAAAACGCATGGTTGTTCAAGTTCTTGGCATACTCGTGAATGATGTAGTATTCGTATATGACATCTGGACGTACTCCCGTCTACTTTCAGTCATCTGTAAATTACGTATACTAACCCCGTGTGAATGCTAGATAGATAGTCTTACACTGTATTGTTTAAGAAAAGAAAATAATGAGAAATCTGTACAATAGCCGGGCATGGTAGTATGAGCCTGGAAAGTCTCAGCTGCTCAGGAGGCTGAGGCAGGAGGATCGCTTGAGCCCAATAACCTGAGGCCAGCCAGCAGCACAGCAAGACTGTCTCAAAAACAAAGAACAAAACAAAAATTCTGTTATATTCAGTACAGACACGATTTTTTCCAACAATTTTTGATCCAAGTTCTTGGATGCAGAACCTGTAGGTACAAAGGGCTGGCTATGCGCTTATACCTGTTCCTCTAACTCCGACTTCATCTCACTAAAGAATGTGTCAGCCCCACCACGGAGGCTGTGAGGATCAGATCAGGGCCTCGGATGTGATACACAAGGGCTACCGCTGAGCCACACCCCCAGTCTCTTCATTTTTCTTTATCCTTTAATTTCTTTCTCTTGGAGACAGAGTCTTGCTGTGCAGTCTAGGCTGGCCTCAAACTTGTGGCGATCCTCCTGCCTCAGCTTCCCAAGTGCTGGGATTACAGGTGTGCACCAGCATGCCCAGCCCTTTTCTAATAACCGATTTAGGTTTTTTTGATATTTAAGTTATTATTTCAAAATGTAATCATTATTTTAAGGTTATTGCGCATCTCCCATTATTTTTTCATACTTGGGAAACTGGTGTGTATTCCATGCGCCACACCGCGATTCAGACTTGCCCTCTTTCCTCATTTTTCTGATGCTCAGATGCAACTGAAAAGTAAAACCTGAGGTCACAGAGCTTGCTCAGTTATAGCGCCTATAATCTAAGATCTACGGTTTATGCCCTGAAATGGGAGTGAGCGGAGGGAAAGTTGAGAACCCTATGACGGTACCTCATCTAATCCTCATGTAAAACTGCAGGCTAGGGTCCCTTTTACAGGAGAGACTGGTGATTCAGAATCATTTGCTTGTGGCCACAGAAGTAGCAGGTCCTGCCAATGATGTGTCATTTATATGAGGAGCGTGTATCTGGTGTTGGCTAAAGGTGGAGCGAGTCGTGTATGTGACAGATGACGTAATGTGTACCTGCGAGAGAGCGGACTCAGTTACTGGGAGGTGGCGGCGCGGTAGGACATGAGTCTGGAATGCGCCTCCTGGGCAGTCCTGCACGTGGAGCAAGTCGCCTATGTCGCTGTCGTCCGTGGGGTTCGCGGTTTGTCGTGTGCACGTGGCCTCCCACCTGGCAGTTCCCGCATATAATACACACGGCCCGGCAGAGCCGCGGGTCAGAGACACGGATGGAGTCTAACCTGTCATCTAGAGAGAGATGTATTGTTATTTTTATTACCCAATGAAACGCTGGCTCGCCAGCGATCACAGTCCGTTCGCAGAAATGTGGAAGTGCACCGCTCACACTCGATGGATTGCCAGACACGTAGGACAAGCCTTGCTGGGCCGTGCAGGAAGGCACCGGGGGTCAGCCCTCAGAGGCCCCGGCCAGCTGGGTCTTCCCTGTCCACCCAGCCCCACACTCCCTCCACGGGCGCCAGAGCCAGGACCAGGAAGAACCCGCTAGCAGCTGAAGTGCCCTTCAGGATCTCATTTTGGTAATTCATCTCAAGGTGTTGGTTGGGCGGCCTCCCCTCTTCCCTGCCTGAGAGCCTTGTCCTAACCAAGAAACAGCCGGGCCGTGATCATCTCCCCACTTTACAGATGGAGAAATCAAGGCCCCAAGAAGAGATGTGATTTAAACAAAGCCATCCAAACAGTGAGGGAGCTGCCTTCTAAACCCAGGTTGCCTGGCCCTTAGTCCAGCTTCTTTTCTCTTCTAGCGCCATTGCTCCGCTGCCCCCAGCATCTGGGCTCTAGGAGGAGGGAAGCGGGCAGTAAGGCTGAGCAAGCCAGGAAAGGGCTTCCGAAGGTTGGAAGGAGATGTCAGGGATGCCTCCTTCCGCCCCTCAAACCCATGGGCCCCTCTCCTGGTTTGCTCACTCATCCAACCACCCATCCGCTCCTCGCCTTATTAACTCACCCACTCACTAGCTCACCTACTGGCCAAAACCATTCCTTCACTCGACTCACACATTTGTTCTCCCATCTCCAGCTCACTCCCGCTCTGACTCCCCCCACTTGCTCAGCGAGCGGACCGTCCCTCTTTCTCTCACTGTCGCCCTGGTTGTCACCACATCCTCTGACCTGTCCTTCCAGCTAGCAGAACATGACAGGTGCCCAGGCCCTCGAGGTCCCCACCTTCAGCCCCTGTCACCCACGTGGCGACTCTGCCTCCTTAGCCAGATCAAAAGCCTTGAACAGCCTCTGCGGAACAGATACAGAGGGCTGGGGGCGTGAGCCCAAGACCGAAGATGAGTGGGACAGCTGCGGGGTTGCCAGGGCCTCATCCGAAAGGGAAGTGCCAGGCCCCTGATTCCAAACACGGCGAGGCTGTCACGAGCAGCAGCGGCTCATCGAGCCAAGCTTGGGGACATTCAGAGCATGGCGCTCCTCAAGACTGCATCCCACTCCAAGGGGAGGAGAGAGGAGGGGAGAGACAGGCAGAGTGGGGTACAAAGTGGGGAGAGGGAGTAGGAAAAGGGCACAGTTGGTGGCACATTGTCCCTGCACGATGTTTTTCTTCTCCCACCTCATCAGATGCTTGAACCTCCCTTTGAAGTCGATTGTACATTTTACAGGGAAGTAAACTGAGGCCTAGGAGAATCATTTACCCAGAATCGCAATTAGCAGGTGGTAGGCGCCAGAATGTAAACCCAGACCTGTGGGGCTTTGGCCTCGTCTCCAGCTGACTGGGGAGGAGGCAGGGCCCCAGGGAGGCAGGAAGAAGGGGCTGGAAGGAGTCAGCGAGGAGATGGGGGCTCGCCAGAGCAGCAGAGAGCTGCAGAGGCTGCTGGTGGGTCGCAGGGAGGCAGGATGGGACCTACAGGTGAGTCTGGGCTTCCCAAACTGCCAGTCCATTCAGCTGCCAGGGCAGGTGGGAAACTAGAACAGAGGTCCGAGTCTGAGGATCCACTGGGCCAGTATCTGGGCTTGAGATTAGGTTTCCCACTCATGGGCCACAAAGCAGCTTTATCGTTGCAATAGCTTCGAGGGTAGAAGTCAATGATTTAGGAAGTGACTCGGGGGTGGACCGTCAGCACCTGAGCGTATGAGTCAGGTGTCCGGTGTGGGGAACAGGGGCTTGGAGTGGCTGAGCCAGGGATCGAATGAATGCCGGTGACTCGGTGCCTGCCTTGCAAAATTGATAACTGAATTTGAATATTGGTGAGTTAGGGCCCCAACAGTTGTAATTAGCACCCCGAGTACAGTCAGAGCCCGACAAACAGCCAAATCCCTTCAGCCGCGCCCAGCCTACCCAGCGTTGGGACGATTAACCATTAACCCCCACCCTCCCTGCACAGCCTCCACCCCTGCACAGAGGCTAGGCCCAGACTCCAGGCTGAGCCTCCCAGAAGACAGTTTGAAAGGAAGGCAGACAGAGCAGGGACCTGGGAGGAGGCCAGGGGAGGGTGGAGGGTGGGGGCTGGGGCTTGGCTCAGAGGCTTCAGGGTGGGCGCAGGGGGCAGGGAGGGGGCCGAGGTGCGGAGGCAGGGGAGAATGCGCCTCTCCAAAACCAGCTCAGAGGCCAGGGTGGGCGCAGGGGGCAGGGAGGGGGCCGAGGTGCGGAGGCAGGGGAGAATGCGCCTCTCCAAAACCCTGGTCGACATGGACATGGCGGACTACAGTGCAGCGCTGGACCCGGCCTACACCACCCTGGAATTTGAGAACGTTCAGGTGTTGGCGATGGCCAATGGTAGGTGGGGGCAGGTGTCCCAGAGGCAACAGGTGTGCCCAGGTGTGGGAGCAGATCTTTGGCCCTTGACTTCGGGGCGGGAGGAGAGTGACAGAAAATGGTAGGTTGGTCCTGTAGGGAGGGCAGGTGTTGCTGCGTGAAGCAAATGTGGCCAAGGACAGCCACCAGGGGCATTCTGGGTGAGAGGGGGCCTGCAGGGGCAAGTGTCCAGCCAAAGTAGATCCCAGGTACCCCCTCCAGGGTCTTCACAGTCCCTGTGACCTCACAGCTGTCCTGCTCAGCGTGTCACTGGCAAGAGACATGATGGGAGGCTCCAGGGATTCAGCCCAACACGGCCCCCTCTTGGGCCTAGGTCAGAGAGCCAGAAAGGTACGTCCTGTCCCTGGTGACGACGGTGCTACAGGCATAAGTGCACCTCAGAGTGTCTTCGGGACTTTCCTGGGGGATTAGAGGTTGGGGAAAATGGAATTCTCGGGGGAGATTCGCTAATGGAGGAGCTGCATGTGTTGTGTGTGATCCCGAGTTCCCGTGTAGATGTGTGAGTGGGAGCTACACTGCACGGACGAACGTGTACCTGGGGAGCTGTATTTGCATGTCCGTGTTATTGATGGATTTGTGTTCCGTGTTCACTCGCATTTGTACTTCTTCATCCAATGGGCCTGTGCTTGTGTCTCTAGGAGTGCCTGTGTCTCTCTCCGGCTTGTGTGTTGAAGTGATGTGAGTGTGTATACGTGTCTGTGGGTATTTGCACATGTGTGCTGTACATGTAGGTCGCTGACTGAAAATGACTGTGGACGTGGATACTTTTGTGCATCCTGTGCTTTCTGCATGCAGGCCTTGTGTGGCGTTGGGCGAGTGCCTGTCTTCAGGCCTCTGTGCACGTCCTCTGTGCTCTCCAAGTGAGAGGTTCTGAGTTGTCATTTGCCGGTTGGGAGTCACATCAGGAATATGTCTTCTCTGAGCAGATTTTGTTACCAGTGTGTATCTCTCCCGTTTATACGCTCACTCCAGCATCACTGAGCATCTCTGTAGCAGGAGGATTGTTCTCCTCCGCAAGGAAGCAGAGGGAAGGAGGAGGCCTGGGAGCCAGGAACCTCCTGGTAAAGGGCCTAAAGGGTTCAGAGAAGAGGTGGCAGCTGGCCCGGGTCAGCCTGTCACCCACCTTCCTGCTGTGGCTCCGAGCCACATGGCCGGGTCAGGCTGCGGCTCGACTGAGGCCTGAAAAGTACAGCAGGAAGGAGGAGGTCGCAGCTGGGCGCTGCCTCTGGTCAGTGTCACCAGATGCTCGCCTGTCCCTGCCACCCATGCCCCTTACCGAGTGACCTTGGGCTCATTGCCTCCTCTCTTGGCCTCTGTATCATCTTTAAAAATGGGTTCCTTCTCCCCAGCTGGCTTTTAGAGGATCTGGGGATCATGTGAGGGGCTCAAGGGGAAAACACAGTAGAAATGGCAGATGAGTTGCTGCCCCGCTCGGCAGGGTGTCCTGTGAGCCCACGGGGACAGTATGTACTGTCACACTCCTGGACACTGCACAGCCACTTGAGAGCCCAGGGGTCACAGCTTCCTGGGGCAGACACCAGGCTCCTTGGCTAAATTCTGAAGACACCATACTCCCCACATACTCTGGAGCCAGAAAGATCCTTGCTGCCTGTGTGAATCTGGCAGGCCGTTTTCCTTCCTGAGCCTCAGTTTCCTTATCTATAAAGTGGGGATAAGTAGTAGCGCCTGCCTCCCAGGGCTAACCAGAGGACAAATAAGATAAGGTTCCTGAGTGCTTAGGCCTGGTCATTGGCCTGGCCCCACGTGGGCTGCCTCAAGGACTCTAAGCAGGGTCTGCATCCCCCACTGGAATTTGCAGTGGTTGGGGTGCTGGGGTTTTATGAGGTTGTCCTCGAAGTGTTTTGGGTACATTTTGAGTTGGTGGCTCAAAGGACATCTCCCCACCCAAGGATATCGCCTTACCCTTCCCCCCCGCTTCGGAAGCAACTGCAGGGAGTCCTAGCTACTTCAACCCCCGACGGGACACCCCTGGCTGGGCTGCATGGGAGGAACAGTCCCGTTCACCCACACCCAAACCAGCCCCTCTACTTAGCAGCGTATGAGGATGCTGGACGGGTCACCGTCCTCTCTGAGCCTCACCTGGAGAAAGGGGGTGATCGACAGACCTCAGTGGGGAGACGATCTGCCCCACAGTACCCAGCCTGGCCTGCCCTGGAGGGGGCTTCCTTCCCCAGCCTACTCAGGGGGGACGAGATCCCCCACAGTACCCAGCCTGGCCTGCCCTGGAGGGGGCTTCCTTCCCCAGCCTCTTGCTGAGTAGCAGGAAGGTATGGGGTCAGCTCTTCCCTGGGCTCGGGGGAGGATAGGCTGGGGAGAAAGGGCACCGATGCAGCTTAACAATTATCCCTGTCTCCAAGAATAATTCACCAAGCGGAGGGGGCTGCACTCCTGGGCACACGCAGGAGGCCTAGGAGATGTTCAGCTGGGCAACAGCAGAGATAAGATGTGGGCTGCAAGTCACCTGCTTCGAGAGTTTTCTTCCACGGAGAAGTGCTCATTTCCCATATGTGGATCTAGAGCTTACAGTGCGCCAAGTACTTCACATGGGTTGATTTGCTGAGCCCTACAGGATCATGATGCACCCTGTTTTACAAGCAAGGAAACAGAGGCATGGAGAAATAAACTAACACGGCCAGTGTCACATGACCAAGTGGGCCAGCTAGGATTGGATCCTGGGCTGAAAACATTCACGATCTATATTCTTTTTTTTTGGTACCAGGGATCGAACCCAGGACCTTGCACTTGTGAAGCAGGTGGTGGCACCACCAAGCTAAATCCCCAGCCCACAGTCTATGTTCTTAATAACAGTGCTACGACCCTCTACTGTTCTTAACTGGACATCCCTTAGGAATCCAAGGTCGGATTCAAGTTTCTGTGGAAACACAGATGTGTGGACTCTGGTGTCCACACACATGTACTTTTCAGCAGGGGTGGAGTTGGTCGTGGAGTTTATCAGTCCTTGGTGGACAGTTTGCTTATAGAAAAGGGGACTCGCCAGGCGTGGTGGCTCATGCCTGTAATCCCAGCACTCAGGAGGCTGAGGCAAGAGGATCGCTGTGAGTTCGAGACCAGCCTGGGCTACATAGTGAGTCCAGGTCAGTCTCAACTACATAGTGAGACCCTGTCTCAAAAAAAGAAGAAGGAGAAGAAGAAAAGAAAAGGGGGCTCGACTGCTGGTATTTTTTTAATCTGCAGAGAGATCAATTGATTAAGACAAACAGGAAGTAAGGGAAAGGAACTTGCCCAAGGTCACAAGTGGCTTAGTGACGGCATTGGCACAAGGGTCCAGAACGCCCAGCACCCAAACCAAGCTCCCCTTTGCAGGTGGCCTCCAATCTCCCCTCCTCCCTTTCACATATGTGCTCATCTCGTCTCTGGGCTGGGTGGCGTTGGAGAGGGGCCAGGCCTTTGCCTTTCCCATAGGAGGAAAGTAGGGAATGTTCTCCACGCATGTCGTCCCTGCTCCCTGTCAGCAGGGCATAGGCGACAAGCTGAGGTTCACCTGGCTCCAGTCACTCAGTAAGGAAGAGGAACTGGTTCTGGGGGGAACTGGAGAGTATTTATTCTCCTAACACCTTCTCTGCCCAACTAGGAGTCTAGAAGGGCCAAATGCACCTAGCAGTGGCCAGGTATTAGTTCCTCTGAGAAAGCCAGGGCATAGCATCCTCCTGAGGGAGAAGCAGGCCCTTTATAGATGCAAAACGAAGGCTCCAAAAGGCCAAGCAACTTTCCCAATATCACAGAGCAGAAATAGCGCCCAGGTCTGGCGTAGATTTCCACAAGGTTCACGCGGCTCTCTGACTTTCCGCCCTTCCCGGGTCCTAACTCCCTTCCCTTTCTACACAGATACGTCGCCATCGGAAGGTGCCAACCTCAACGCGCCCAACAGCCTGGGTGTCAGTGCCCTGTGTGCCATCTGCGGGGACCGGGCCACAGGCAAGCACTACGGTGCCTCGAGCTGTGATGGCTGCAAAGGCTTCTTCCGGAGGAGCGTGAGGAAGAACCACATGTACTCTTGCAGGTGAGGAGCCCTGCTCAGGCCTTGATTTCTCCAGCTAGGAAATGGGTGCACTTGGACTATCTTCTCCCTGGGTGGGTCCTGGAGACATCTGCCCTTTAAGGGCTTCCCGACTTTTCTGGTTTCTTAGGCCTAATGGGTACAGGTGAGAACATCTCCAGCAGCCCTAATTTCTGACCCTAAAGGGCATGGAACTCATCCTTCCACCTGGCACTTTTTCTGGGACAAATAGAGGACTGGCTCCCAACCTTTCCTCCTACCCCAAAGGCTTCCCAAGGCTTTGGAGATCCTTCGTTCAAAAGTATCGACCATTTGGATAAGAACAATAATAAAATCAGAGCAGCTGTCAATCACGAGTACTTGCCACGTGCAGATCCCGTGTCAAGCCCCATCTGGGTATTATCTCATTGTCACCTGTCCGTACCCCCTTGGGGTGGTGTTGATTGTTCCCAATTTATAGATGAGGAAACTGTGGCTTGGAGGCCTAGGGTTTTTCCCCAGCTCCCCCAAAACCACAGTGCATCACTGCCTCTACCCACCCCCTTTCCCCTGCCCCAGAGTCTCTGTGGAGCAAGCATTGACTTGAAGTCAGGACCAGGGGCCTGCTATGATCTCTGCATTCTTACAGGATACGGTAGAAATGGCCCTGGCACTTGAGAGACTGAGGTTCCCAACTCAGCTCTGCTGCCAACCAGCTGAGAGATCCAGGGCCCTATGTTGCTTTCTCTATGTTTGGCAGGGTAGACTGGACTTTCAGAGAGTCCCAGGCCCCCCCAGCTCCTGAACAGTTTGCATGGGAATTCCCGGGGTGCAGAGATGGAGCAAGAAGCTAGGGATTGACCGCACTTGTCCTAAGAGGGGAGGCCGTGTCCTCTCCACCTAACCATCTAAAGCCCTCCCCAGATTCAGCCGACAGTGCGTAGTGGACAAAGACAAGAGGAACCAGTGCCGCTACTGCAGGCTCAAGAAGTGCTTCCGGGCTGGCATGAAGAAGGAAGGTGAGCTTGCCCCACCCCTACAACCCCGCTGCCCCACCTGCGCCAACTCAGAGATCTACCGTCATTTACAACTGTAGCCACACTTTATGGCTGGGTGACAGGCCCCAGGGCGACCAGCTAATGGCTGAGAGGAGGGAGGGCCTGGGGATCTGACCACAGGGAGCGGCTGGGCTTGGTCTTGAGAAAGATGCAGAGATAAGCTCCCACTCAGCTACTCAGGCTCCCAGCAACTGCCACCCGGCCTGCCTGTGCCACCTAAGGCAGCCAAGGTGGCTGCTTTCCCTTAATCTAGTGTTTCTAGCGTGAGACCTCAGCACACCCAGAGTTCACAGAGGTGAACACCAGAGGCTCTGTTCCTGAGTTTCTTGTCCAGGCACAAGTGCCTCAACCCCTTAGTTCTCTTTCTGAGATATCAAGTGGCCACCGGGGTTTTCCCAGTGTGGACAATGGGAACAAGGCCAGAGGCTTACCCCGGAGGGAGGGGACAGGGATGACAGAGCAGTGTCCATTAAGGTCTTGCCAGGCTTCCTGCTACCAGCAGGACCAGTCCCTGGGCCGGGCTCTTCCCACCTTTGGGTCTTATGACCACTCGATGTGGCTGGAACTATTACTGGGCCCCCTTTCCATGGGACAGGAAACTGAGGCCCACAGTGATTAAGCACTTGCTGAAGGCCCCAAGTTCTGTGAGTGAAAGAGCTGAGGTTCAAATCCAGGTTTTGTGCTGTTTGGACAATACTTCAACACTGCAGATCCTGTGCCCTCCAGACCTCAAGAAAGTTTTAAAACTGCTTTCAGCCCAAGCTCAGAAAGCAAACATCTTTTAACTATTTTTCAAAGTAACTGGAGTTCATTTGTAAATTTGTTTCCTTCTTTTCAACTCTCTGGAAAAGTCCAGCTCTGGGACAGCCCCAAACCTTTACTTCCAGCCCATGGTTATGCCTTACTAGCCAAGCCCTCAGTCTAGACACAGACACACACAGACACACAGACACACAGACAGACACACACACACACACATGCTCCCCAGCCCAGCAACAGGGACTCAGTCCACCCCAGGCCACCTGAGGAGAGGGAACGTCCCTGTCACCTGTCCCTGAGGCCCTGTGTTCTCTGCTGCCTCCCTCAGAACATCTGTGTCTCATCCCTACAGGCCTTAGGTTGAGCTGGAGAATTTTGCTGGAAAATCAGGGCCTGAAGATCTTGCTCTAAAGACATCCGTGGTTCTGTGATGAAGGAGGGGCTTTTGCAGTCCTCCCCCAAACACACTTATCCAAGTTTTCCATGGGGAGGACCCTCTCACCCACTCTCCCCTCCAAGCTGAGGACCACTTTGTGGCATGACAAGTGTTGTGAGTGGGAATGTGGTGCATGTATGAATACTGGAGACAAGACTGAGAACCACAATTAGGGGTCTAATGTCTCTGATTCTATTATCCCAATAACCTAAAATTTTAGATGCTATCATTGTCCAGAGGGGGTGTTTCAAGGACATTGTTTGAGAGAAAAAATCTCGTAGAAATAGCTGCATGTAGAAGGGAGTTAGCAGCCCATCTAAACAGGTGGCTGTGGCCTGGTCCTGCATGTGGTCAGAGGGAAGTCTCCACCTCTTCTGGGCTCCAGTTTTCCCATCTACAAAGTGAGGTGGGTATATAATAATTCACAGAGCCAGTGACTCCCAGATCCCAGCTCCTAGGGTGGAGGGTGAGCCCTAGGCCATTCAGCTCTAGCTTGACCTTGAAAATAGCTTCCTGCCTCTTGAGCAAAGAAAATGGGCATTCTGCCAGGAGAATAGCAGATTCGCTGGTGGCAAGTAGAATGGGCTAGTAAACACAGAGCTTATTTGCATGCCTGGGTTAACAGAAGACCACAATACATGGTACCTTTGAAACTGGGTCACAGTAGCAAAATGTTCCATGACCCCAGTCGCCAAGTCCTAGAAAGGTAGGATTTTGCTAACTCTACCCAAGTCTGCCAGTCCCCAACATCCCTCTTCAGACTGATAGGAAGTTCCCAAAGCGGAGTGAGAGTCAGTGGAAGCCTCACTGACCAGGAGAGTTGAGATAAATGTTCATTTCTAATCCCAGAGGATTTGAGGGCTCAAACCCAAAAGTGGTCATTGAAGATCAGAAAGTGTGAGTTTGAAATGTAGGGTTTCTAGACCAGCTAGATGTAGAAATCATCAAGTCTAACCCCCCCACACACACACACACACTTTGCAGGTAGGAGTGGAGGAGTCAGGTCTAGAACTCAGGCTCCTCAGAGCTGATTAGACATCAAGCTCGCTGGAGTGAAATTTGGAGTGGTCCCTTGGGGAAGCATGTTCTGGTCTCAATTCTGAAGCTTCCTCTCCACTTCGGGGAGGATTTCACATTCCACTGGCTGGTCTGTCCTGGTCAGAGGATATTCTGCTGTGGCTGGAAGAGGCTGGAGGGGCAGACTCCTGAGGCAGAAATCTGACAGCTTGCAAATTCTGTCCTATAACCGAGGCCAGGGAGATGAACACTTGCCTGGTCTCACTGTCAAACCTATGACAGATAATCCAGATCGTGGCATCAGTAGCCCAGGGCACTCAAGAGAGGCAGGTTGGTGACAGGCCAGGACCACCTAATGAGCCCTTTCTTGGAAGTCGAGCTGGGCATTCCAGGCCCCACCGGGGTCCTCTAGGAATACAGGCTCATCCCCTCTCTGCCTCTGGCCAGGTCGGTTAATATTCAATGGAAGTTACATTAGGTCCCCGACCCTGCTAATACTGAGCAAACATTTGGAAAACATCATTCCGTGACTGAGCTCGCGCTGGGCACTGATAAGGCCAGCTAACCTTGAGGAGCCCTATCCGCAGCTGCTGACTGTGGCCCTTTCATTCCCCGCCTCCCCCTCGACCTGCTGGGTGTGGCTGCTGCCAGGGAGGGGTGTGGTAGGCTGGGCAGGGGAGAGGTGAGGGAAGAGCTTCCCTGCCCAGCATCTCTACTGTACACCACTGACTTTTATGCTTGGAATTAAACAGTGTGTAAAATCAACCGGAAGTTGAACAGCTAGATGTCAGCATTCCGTGGAGAAATCGGGTGCTGGTGAGGATGATCACTGTCCCATCCAACACCTTCTCATTCATTCACCGAGCACCTCCTGTGCACTGGGCTAGGCTAGGTTCCAGGGGTGACGGAAGTAAACCAGAGAGGTGAGGTTCTGGCTTTCTGGAGCTTCCTGTCTCAGGGATTAAAAACAATAAAGAAATGAACAAATAACTCTACAACAGGTACCTAGAAGAAAAGTAAAGAGGAATGAGGGGGAGAGTCTGAAAGAAGGGCTGCTGTGGCAGATCAGAGGTAGAGAAGGTGTCCGATAAGGTGACACTCTGTGGTGATGTGAAAGAAGAGGGATTAAGCCCTGTGGAAAGGGGATTCCAGGCAGCAAGAACAGAACAGCAAAGGCCCTGAGGTTGAGTGTGGCTTTTCAGGACAGAGGCCGCTTGGGCAGGGGTGGAGTGAACTAGTGGAAGTTGGCACAAAGAGTGTATGAGAGGCAGAGAGGACGTGCTCCAAGGTATGTTTGGAGGGTCCCTCTGTCTATGAGAGGAGTCAGCCCTAAGGGCCAAGGCCAGAAGCCTGAAACCCCCGTGGAGGATCTCCCTCATCTTGGGGTCCTCCCTTCTGCCCCTTTCCACCAGGGGGCGCCCGCTAGGCCTGACCAGGACAAGTGTTGGGCCCATTTCATAAGGATTAGTGACGACAGGTGGGGGTGTAAGCAAATGTGGAGAGGGGAGAGAATGTACCAAGACCCAGGCTTGGCCAGAGGGACTGGGAGAAACCACCTGCATTTCCCGAGATGAGCAGGAGTAGAGGGAGGAGGCTGAGGGAGAAAGCTTTGGGTGGGGAAACTGACACGCCATGGAGATGCTATTCCCACCAGCAAATTCCCAGTAGAAACTGAGGTTTCTGCAGCCTCATCGTCTCTTCCTCTCAGCAAACCCTAGTTCCCCAGTGAGGCCTTGTGGATGCCAAGGGGTGGGCCAGATGATGAAAAGGCCATCTGATATCTTAGGCTTGGACTCAGGCGGGGGCAAATGGTGGGCTTGGGGTCTTTGGAGACAGAAGCCCTGATCCCTGTGTTGTCAATGAGTCATCAGAGTGAGGCAGGAGGGAGGCAGCCTCACCTTGCAGACTGTGGGAAGTTGAGTCAGGAGCATGGCGGACAGGCTGCCAGGCAGCTGGGGTCTCCGGGTCTCCCTGTTGAGAGCTTTTGCCTGGCGTCCAGGCATCCCTGGGTCAGCTCTGTGTCATCTGGAGCAATTTTTTTTTCTTTTTTTCTTACACACTTTCACTGGGCAAGAAATGATCCTCTAAATAGAGCCTGAAGATCCGTGATCTTGGCAGAGCCCTCCTCAGTGCTGCAGACCCCATCTCCACCCTCTGCTGCTTCTGAGATCCAGGGCCTGGGCCACTCATGCCTGCAAGAGCTTCCCCACTGAGGGGGCCTTTCTGGGTCTGGAAAGTCCTCCTGTGAGCTCAGTTAGATTGCATCTCCTTGTCTCCCGCATGCTGAGCTGGGCTTCATGCTCTGGGTGCTCCCTTGCCCTCCCCCGCCATTGGTGCTCCCCCTTACTCTGGGACACCCCTGGGTCGAGCTCTTGCCCCTGAACCTCCCCCACCCTACACTTGCTTCCCCCCCTCACCTCTCTCTGCCCCTCTTAGCTGTCCAGAATGAGCGGGACCGAATCAGCACACGGAGGTCCAGCTACGAGGACAGCAGCCTGCCCTCCATCAACGCGCTCCTGCAGGCAGAGGTCTTGTCCCAGCAGGTATGGGGCACCCTCCCAGCCACCTCCCACATCGCAGAGGAATCTCACTTCCTCTGTCTCCATCCTCCCCAGCCATGCCCTGGAGCTGCGGAGGGAGAGGACCTCAGATTCCACCGTAGGGAAACTGAGTAAAGTGTCATATAGCCAAGACAGAGCTCGCCCTAGGTGTGGGGTTCTCAGGACTGTCTAGTTCATCTGGTGGCCCACGCCCCACAGGCTAAGCAGGGCTTTGCTCTCACTGAGGGCCTGAGATCAGCCCCAAGGAAACAGGATCGCTGGATCCAGTCGGCAAATGGGGTGCAGCCAATCCTTTGCTTGAGCAAGTCATAGCACCTCTCTAGGTGATATTATCTTCATCTACGAGATGAGGGTGACAGTTTTTGCCTCGCTGGGGCCAAGGTATCCTGCGGCTCGTCGAGGCTGGTGGAGAAGGCAGAGCAGCAGTGCCCTATAAGGATCCCTCTCCCTCATCTTAGGGTCCTCCCTTCTGCTCCTTTCCAGAAGCTCCCTTCACAGCTAGAAGTACACACAGGGAAACTTTCCAAGGAGCAGGGCTCACTCAAGGGACAGGAAGCGGGGGGCTGCCACCTGCAACACTTTTCTTCATCTCCCGCAGATCACCTCTCCCGTCTCCGGAATCAGTGGTGACATTCGGGCCAAGAAGATTGCTAACATTGCAGATGTGTGCGAGTCCATGAAGGAGCAGCTGCTGGTACTGGTCGAGTGGGCAAAGTACATCCCAGCTTTCTGTGAGCTCCCCCTGGATGACCAGGTGAGGGCAGACATGCGCGGTGGGCAATGTCAGACGCTAGGTCGCCAGGGTCCTGCTGGCCCTCCTGGGATGTCATATGGCACGGGACTGGTTTGACTTGCTCAGCAAAACACACATAGCACTCATGTGCGCCCAGATCTGTTTAAATTATAAATATTAACTCATTAAATCCTCCTGATGTCTATGAGGTAGGTACTGCTCTTCTTCCCGTCTTAGAGGTGAGGAAACAGGGACAGAGAGAGGTTAAGTAACTTGCTCAAGGCCACATAACAGATGGGATTAGAACTAGCCAGGGAAGTTCCAAAGTTCAAAGTCTGGCTCCTCACCTCAGGGCCACGTAGCTCTCCTGGGGGTATTGACAGGGACCCAGGCCCAGGGAGCTGGAGATTTGTCTTCAGCGCTGGCTCTAAGACCAGTTCCCTGGGTCATCCTAAACAAATTGCTCCCCCTTCTCTCTGAGCCTCCGTTTTCTGCTACGTGGGAATTATTCACTTCAAAGTGCTGTTGGGAGGACTGAGGATGGACCTGGTGTTTTTTCTTTTCCTGTTTATTTATGTACTTTTAAGAGGTATAAAATAATTTTTTAGGCAGAATTTTTAAAGTACACCCAAAGAAACAGAGTGTGGGCCCTCAAGAGAGAGAAGAGCATCATAGTCTGAGACTGAGTATATTTAGAGGCGCTTTGGGGGTGGAAATCTGCAGACTCTGTGGAAAGAGGGGATTTAATTTACAGATGAAAGGTGATGACTCTTTCTGCAAGGGAAGGGTACTGACTCTAAAAAGTGCAAGATCTTGGAACTTATATGGTTGGACCATAGCTGGCCTCCTCAATATTGGTTTCTCCCTTGTATCTACCAAGATGACTTAACTTAGCATTGTCTTTCCTAAAGTGCCTTCTCTGGAGGACTAAAAATGCTCCTGAGGAAAAGGGATGGGGAGAGGTAGCTCGTCTGAGGACAGGGGAGCCCCTGAGATGCTGCGTGTGATAGCTCTCGCCAGAGCAGCCCTTGGCCTCTGTGAAACGTGTCCCCACCTGGGCAGGAGTGCTGGACTGGGCCACCTGGCCAGCTTTGGTGGAAGCACAGGAGACTAATAATGCACGTCCACCTCTGAAATCTTCCAGAAGGCTTGCAGGCAGGCAGCTGCCTCTCTGTGAAAACCAGAGCTTCCCAAACTCCTTTGGCTGGAGCCTCCGGAACACTGTGAGGTGAGCCAGTGGTTGCCCTAGGAGAATACTGGCTTGGCTGCTCCTAGGCTTCACCTGTGGCTGGACCAGAGGCCTCTCCTCTGGGTTCCTCCCTTGCCTAGGACAGTTGAAGAGGCAGAGATCTTATTCCAACTCCCCCTGCCTTCTCCCCAGCTCCTCGAGCACTGGCCCTGGTCCCTCTGCTGGAGAGTCTGCATTAATGTTTAATCCCCCCTGTCCTTCCTAGGGGCTTAGCAGAACAACAAGATACCCCCAAGCTGAGCAATTGTTAACCCCGATTTCCCACCCAAACCTCCTTGGCTGGGGCTCAGAGCATTCTCAGAGGGCAGTGATGGGTAGCCAGTAACATGGGACAATCATTAACGCCACCCCCGCCAGCACAGCTGCCATGTCAGAGGGGTGGACCTGGGAATCCATTCATGGTATACAAGGAGCTCGTCTTGCCCAGCATGGGCAGGGTCAACCTTGGCTATCTGAGGGCTTATGTGCATCTTGGTTTGTGGACCTCAAAAACGTCGAAGGCTGGGTACAACTGATGGCATTGAGGCCCCTGGTGAGAAAGTGACGATCAAAAGCACAGAGCAAAATGGCCTCAAAGCTGGGGATGAATCCAGGTCCTGTGCCTTGCCATTTAGGAGCCACTGGGTTAGCCAGAACTCTGCACAAGCACCTGAAGACATGAGTTGCTGGGTAATTAGCACGCTTCCTTCCCTTCATGCTGCCTATGGAAACTGGGTTCGCATATCCAAGTCTTCCCATTTTTTCTTTTTAAGTCTTCCTCAAGGATTCTGGTTATGAGGTGATGGAAGGGGTAAGGACATGTGGCTGGCCAGGAGGGGCTGGATCTAGAGAGGAAGATAAGATGTTGACTCACACATGCATTCCTTTTCTGCCTTCCTTCCTTTCTTGCTTCCTTTCTTCCATCCAACAAAAATGTACTAAAGTCTATCTACTATGTGCCAGGGTTTTCCCGTGGCTTACAACAGTTTTACCTCCTAAGAAAGCTCTTCCCTGACCTCCAGCTAATGCAGCTATTCCCACCCCATTACTCTTTGCCATAGCCTTCCCCCTCCATTCTTTCCTCCTCCTTCCCTTCCTCCCTCCCAGCACTATCATCCTCTGTCCTATTTCCTTCTTTTCTACTTTACATGCTATCACCTCACCCCACATGAGTTCTGTCAGGTTAGAGACCTTGTCATTCTTTTTTATCTTTGTGTCATCATTGTCCAAAAGTGTCTGGCACTTAGTAGGCATTTATAATTGATGACCAAAACAACGAAGAATCAGATGAATGAGTGAACAGTAGAACTTTAATCTTCCTCACTCCAAACTCCCAGCCCCACATTGCAGATCCATCCTCTAGTCCAGCCCGACTTTGGTCCTCGCCCAAGTGCTAAGGCAGATGACTTCAAAGACATGAGCAGTGTCCTCCTGCGCCGGCTGCGCCCTGGCCTTGGCCTTCAGTCTTCATGGCCTTCAGTTGTCATAGGCTGCTGCTCCTCCTCACAGGAAAGGGGCCTGGCTCTTGATTCTCTGCCACACCCTTGGGGCGAGCCAGTTCTGAAAACCAATATCTACCTCCAGATTTCTGTAATGTTCTCTCAGAATTCTAGAATCTTACAATGCCAAGTAGATAAATGCCCTGGAGATTTTCTGGACCAGGGATTTCCCAAACTCAACTGAACCTCTGAATCAACTGGGGGAGCTTGTTGAATGCAGATCCCTGGGTGCTCCCCATATATCCAAAAGGAGAATCTTTGGTAGTCAGGTAAGAATCTGTGTCCATAAATACCTTCGAAGAGTCTCTGTAGCTCATTCAGTGGTAGGAATCTGCAATCCAGTTTAGAACTCTTAGGGTAATGCTGTTTTTAAGAATCAGATGAAAGCCTTTGAACTTCTGCTCAAAAGAGTGCTAAGTATGTTGCCTACAGCTGCTCCAGGGACATAGATGTGGCCCAAGGATGCAGCAGTTCAAGGGCAGAGTCAACAGGAGCCATCCCAGTTCAGAGTGCCTGTTCTTTCTCTTTCTTGGTTTCTGTTCATTCTTTTCCAGGTCCTTAGTTTTACCAGTCATGGAAGGAAGGCAGCAGTTTTATGATGTGCATTTTATAGCTCAGGCATGTAGAGGTAGCAGGGAGAATTAAGCTGCCTTTCCCAGGGCTTTTGAGTTGACCAGAAGCTGCCTTCCCAGGGCTGCAGATGCCATACTCTATCCCTTATCTCTTCCAGGTGGCCCTGCTCAGAGCCCACGCCGGCGAGCACCTACTGCTGGGAGCCACCAAGCGATCCATGGTGTTCAAGGACGTCCTGCTCCTGGGTAAGGAGGCTGCCTGTCCCAGCAGGTCTCCATGGAGCTCATGCAAAGGCTATCTCCAAGGTGGCCCTGTCCTCAGGCTTAATGACAGAGGATGCCAAGACTCAGTTCTCAACTGGATCCTTACCCGGATGCCAGGAATTATGGATACAAGGAAGGAAATTTCCCCAGCCTTCAAGTTAGAGCATAGAGTTATTCCTGGATACCCATGCATTCGGCCATTCTTTCTGGAGTAGGATCGAGAGGAGGCCAGGAATGGTGCATGTCACTTGTGCTGTAGAACCACACAGTATACACCAGGGGTTATGCTGTATTCTTTTAGTACAACAATGCTATTATGGTGGTGCACGCCTATTATCCGGCACTCTAGGAAGCTGAGGCAGTAAGACTGCAAGTTCCAGCCCAGCCTGAGCAATTTAAAATACTTAGTGAGACCCTGTCTCAAAATAAAAAATAAAAAAGGGCTGCAGATATAGCTCAGTGCAAAGACCCTGGGTTTAATACCAAGACTAAACAAACGGTGTCCAGCTCCAGAGTCTGGTCCCTTAAATTTTGTGCTTTTGTTCCTCCCAAGTGGCCTTTGTATGTCCCAGTCTTGAGCTATGATGGTAAAGGAAGCCTAGGTGATAAGAAAGGAGCCCTAAAAGCTAAGTTTCAAGCATACCCGATGACTTCAGGCACCTCTTTTAGTCTGGGCCTCTGGTTTGCCATCTGCGAAAGGGATGTGGTGACCCTGCAGGTCCTCCTCCCAGAGAGAGCACCAGCTGCATTGCCACGGCAAACCCTCTCCTGAGGTGGCTGCCCATTCTTTCTCCTTCCCAATCCACCCAGGCAATGACTACATTGTGCCCCGGCACTGCCCGGAACTGGCGGAGATGAGCCGAGTGTCCATTCGCATCCTGGATGAGCTGGTGCTGCCCTTTCAAGAGTTGCAGATCGATGACAATGAGTATGCCTGCCTCAAAGCCATCATCTTCTTTGACCCAGGTACCGTTCTTAGCTCCTATGCCAGTGATGGCCAACCTTTCAGAGCTTTCAGTGATGCGGACAGCCCCCTGTGGCATGCATGCCACAGGTTTGCCACCACTGTCCTAACCCATGCCTGATGCCCCAGACCCTCTGCCAGATTTCTGCTGGATTCACGGCCTCTTTCATCATCATGGCCCCAGGGGAAGTTGTTTCATCAGCCCCACTGAATAGATGAGGCAAATCAAGGTTCAAAGAGGTGTCAAGGTCCTGACTCCAAAGGCCTGCACTTTTCTTTCCCTTTTTCCCTTTCCTCCTCTTTTCTCCTTCCCTCCTCTTTTCTCCTTCCCTCCTAACTTCTTTTGCTTTCATCTTTGCTTCTTTTCCTCAGAAAACTTTATCAAAATAATATCTACATAAACTCGACATTGCAAATAGCTCTCCTCAATACATCCCACTTTTCCAACCTGAAGCCTCTTCCCCAGGATAAGCATTTCTGATTCTTTCAATTGTTCCTTTTGCAGTTAACTTCACAGTTTGAAAAGCTGCTAAGCATTATATCTCTCGTTCTGTTTTGTCTTGTTTGTGTGGTGCTATGGGATGGAACCAGTGTCCTTGCACATGCTAACAAGACTTCCACCACTGAGCTGCAGTCCAGCCCCATGGTTCTTGATTCACACATTTTAGACCGTGTATTTCCCGCTATTCTGGCTATGGGTTTCACTCTCTTCCATCAGTGCCCCCGCCTTTTCTTCCCCATACTCCCTATGGAATTTTATTGCTATTTTTTGTGCCTGACTGACCACCTCTGCAGCTTGCAGTCATGTGCTTTCATGCCTTTATTTCTGGTCCTATCAACTTAGGACAATGTCTCCTAACGCTGCTGCAGAAGATAACTGCACCCCAGCTTTTGTTTGTGGCTCTTTTCTCTCCCCATTCCATGTACTGACTTTTGTGTCTGCTTTTTCACAAAATGTCTTTGGAGTCACATCTTTGTGCAAAGCCTGCTTCCCCTCCCCAGTGTCAAGGTGCCGCAGGCCCAGAGGCTCACTTGCTTTCTTCCCCCTCACTGGCTAGAGTGTGCTGGGCACTGCCTGTGTACAGATCACTTCGGGTAGTGACAGCAATGAGGAAGAAAATGACCATGTGTTGAGTGCTCAAGAAGCATGGTTTAAGTACTTTATGAAGATTATCTTACTAACTGAGGTAGGAATTATTATTGTCCTCATTTTTCAAATAAGGAAATTGAGGTACAGGGTGACCGATCCACTTGACCAATGTCACACAACCAGGCAATGACGGCACTTCGATTGGAACTTCAGACTCTCATCAGTCCCTACCTAGCTAATCTCAAACGCATGTGCGTGCGTTCCACATGCTGTTTCCCCTTTCCCAGAGGGTGAGATTTCTAGTTCTGCTTTTGCTTAGGGCCTGGCCTAAACTGCATGTTCTGCAGTGCTTGGCAGGAGTTGGGGAGGCAGAAACTGCTCAGTAACACATGTGGGACTAGTGTGGGATTGTGGGGCTGAGTCGGGGACGTGCTCAGTGAAAGTTTGGTGATGAATCAAAGTACATAAATATAGGCAGGGGAGAAAGCCCATTAGAAGCAGGGGCAAACTCTTTTTCTGCCGCTTCCTCTGTTCATAATTATTTTCATGAAAGTTGAGATCGAAGTGTTAAAAAGTAAAATATTAGGTTAAGGATGTAGAATTTATTCACTGATATTTTTTGCATTCATCCTTTCCTCCCTCTCTCCATGCCTTCAACCAGTTATCTATTCAATAAATATCGACTATCTGTAGAGTGGGTGTTGTGATACTCAGTTTAAAATGGCAAATAAAGACATGAGCCTGCTCACACAGTGCTCGCAGTCTAACGGAAGACATGACTCCCTCCTGTGTAGTCCACAGTGATGGAGGATCCACTGAAATTTAGGGACATGATGGACATACAATGTAGGCCTGGGAGGGTAGGACGGAGAAGACTCCCTGGAGGGCGTGAAATGTCAGCTGAGTCTCAGATGACAGGTACAGCATGGAGGGAAGGAGAGACTGACCCAGTGCATCCGAGGCAGGCTGTGCCAGGATCTGGATCATGGGACCTCAACTATGGATCAGGAAACCAAAGTCGACCTCAAGGCTCTGCCACCAACTGCCTGTGTGACCTAGGGCAAGTCCTTTTCTTGTCCCGTGCCTCAGTTTCCCTATGTGTAAAATGAGTGTGCCCTATATTCCTGAGATTCCGCCTTCTATCTCTTATTCCCGACTCCTGCATTTGGTATCTTAGCAAACACAACCGAAACATTTTTTGCCTGGATCTAGGAAGGCACAGTCTGTGCTAGTGTGCTCTGGTCATTGAGCACCTTGAATCTTTGTTCTGGTACTGCTGTCAGCTCCCTGTGCAGCTCTGGATCACTGAGCCCCCCACCACCTGGGCCCCACAAGTCACTGGACATCTGGGCCCTGCTTATCTCCTTGCCATCCCCTCCCACTGCAGATGCCAAGGGGCTGAGCGACCCAGGCAAGATCAAGCGGCTGCGCTCGCAGGTCCAGGTGAGCTTGGAGGACTACATCAATGACCGCCAGTATGACTCACGCGGCCGCTTTGGTGAGCTGCTGCTGCTGCTGCCCACATTGCAGAGTATCACCTGGCAGATGATTGAGCAGATACAGTTCATCAAACTCTTCGGCATGGCCAAGATCGACAACCTGCTGCAGGAGATGCTGCTGGGAGGTCCGTACAGCCCATACAGAGGGGCACTGGGGCACCTGCCTGGGAGATAATCCTTGTGCAAACTTGAGCTTGCCTCCATTGCCTCCTCAGTGTGTGGCTTTGGGCAGGTTGCTTAATCTCGGTTCCCTCATCAGGAGAATGGGGACAAGGACAGAAGTCCATGGGCCCAGATTCTGAGAGCCTAGCACATGCCAGTCCCTGTTTTAAGTGCTGGAGGCTCAGGAAGGAACAAGGTCTCTGCCTTCCTTCAGGGTATGTGTGTACAAGTGTGTGCACAAAGGTTCATGAGGAACAGACCATGACCAAGTACACAGTAAGAAAGTAACTCCAGATTTTTAAATAAACAGGTAGTATGCTAGAATTTAACCAAAAAGATGACTTATTCAAAGGAGACCTCACTGAAGGGGTGGCTTTCAGGCTAAGACCTGATGGCCAAAAGGAAATAGAAGATTGAAAACCCAAGAAACTAAATAATAATAATAATAATAATAATAATAATAATAATAAT